TAGCACAGGAAGTATTTTTCATAAAGGACATCCTGACTGTGGTCTATTTTGACTGAAGTTTGGGAAACTGCACCAAAATAAGTTTTCTCATTAAAATTCAACAACCTGCATATACCAATAATTAGAAAAAAAAGACAATATTCTAATTGCAATAGTCAAATATGTATTTTAACACCTCAATCTAATTTTTAATAGCTGTCAATTGTTTGTAATAAAATATTAATATATTTAAATTGTTACTCCAAAATGCTCAAAAATAACAGTAAGATGAATTACTTCACAGTTTAACTGCATTCAAATTAATTTCTAGCCTTGTTCAGGAACTGTATCTTTTGTTTCATGTTCTTTCCTTTTGGTTAGACATGTGAGAACAGGCACTTCTGCAGAACAGTCTCCTGTCATTCAAGAGTCATCATTATATACACGGTCTTCATTGACTCGGACAAGGTACAAATCAACAATGGTTTGCCAGTTGCAACAAATGCTATGCAATGGTGGTAAAAGCTCATAAAGTAAATACCATTGTATGTAAAGTCAGATGATTGACTCTTTAGGACTCATTCACATGGGGCATGTTGCTCCATACAAACATAAAGGGCCCTTTTTTTAGGCACCAAGAGTTACTGGAAGAAGCGTGTGGGCAGCTCATGTAGGCCTATGGAGAGGCAGGAGCCATGCACTCTCATGCTGCTTCCCACAGTGAATGAGTCCTTATACAGCTATAGCTACTGTAAGGGATTAGTCACTTATATTACTGTTTGACCCTTTTTAAATGAAGGGGCCAAGCACTAGTTATATTTTTCTCATTTTATGCAGTTTTTTATCATGTAACTAGGTCTTCAGGCTTGCTGCTAATGGGGTTTGTTTGAATAGAAATTATAAATGTTGACCCATGGTCCTCCATTTTTCTATCCTCCCTTGATCCAATAACACAAACCCTCATTTGCTAACCACCCATCACCACCCTTTCAGTTTTCCGCTCTTCCTTTCTTCTCTTTACTATATGTCTTACATTTCCAAAAAACCTAATAAAACATATTGAAGAGAAATTATAAATGTAGAGTTGTGTGTTTTTGGATTATTTTAGAGGTGTGAGCTTTAGGGCTGTTAGGCCTGTCTTTGCTTTATGACACTGGAAAAACTTTGTGCCTATCAGGTGCCTGGACACTTTACTGGGTGCATGATTGTTAATTAAAAGTAAGGTGCAGATATCAAAGAATAGATCTAAGTTGGTGGATAAATGCACTTTACGTCACAAGTTCACACCCATGGAAACATACATGGGAACATGCACATTCAACTAGATATTAGGGTTTACCATCAGGTGTACCATGTGTTTTGTGCTTTGACTTTGCAGGTCCTGTCACATTGAAGTGCCTGAGAGACAAGTTCATTGACACACAGCTACTAGTCACTGTATTAGGCTGTATCAGCTGGCAAAGCATTCTTGCCTAAACATTTATTTATTATAAGAATTTGCCTTTACCTGTAAAAGGGCAGAGAGGGCTTCTGCAATTAAACCAATGTATGGCTAAAGCCTTCTGACTAGAGGCACTGTGGCCACAAAGGCACACAATAGTATTGACTGTAAAGAGGTTAAAGGGTTCAATTTTTTCTTAATTTTAATGTCATGTGAACTTTTTCCTTTTTTTTTTTTTTTTTCTTCTAATAATGCTTTTCTCGTGTCAGTGTGCATGTAAAGAAAAACATAATAGAAAATCCTCTGGACAGACTACCAAAGACTGCCCCCTGTCCTCCTCCAGTTCTTGTTACTGTTCCAGTTCAATATTCCAAGAGCAAATCCAGCGCAGTGGCTGCAGTGACTGCCATTGTGGGTGCACAGGCCAGGTATTGAGGAGCTTGTAGAGTGCATGCCCTTCAACAACTTTAACTAAGCACCTTGTTCTAACCCAGTTTTTTTACTGTGGATTTGCAGTGTGTAATCATGAATTTAAAGAACAACTCCGGGATTCACATCACTTTATATAGGTCCCTCTCAATTGGAGGAAGCAAACTGCTGTAACAATTTATCTTAAAATGTCTTACTTTTCTTGTAATCCTTGTGTTTAGCTGCCAGTGATGTCACTTCCTCCTATGTACAGATCAGTCCTTCCTGCAGCCAGGGGGAGGATCTAGGTAACCAGTGTGTGTCATATCCTGAAACAAAGTTCTAACTACATCTCCCTTGAGTCATTGTAAAATAGAGGAAGTGTGAGGAGTGTATAGGAAGAGCTACAAAGTGTGTGTGTGTGTGTGTGTGTGCGTGCGTGCTCATTCCTTTTTTTTGTTTTTGGGCTGACTGCAGACTCGGGGAATAGATACATTGCATGACAAATGACCCTGTTTGTAAGTCATCCTACCTCCTAACAGCAGAGCATCTGGCTTTGTGGAATAGTGATGCCCAGTTCATGAAGGAATCTTTCTTTTTAATTGATTCTTCTGGATGAATCGATTCATCTAACTGAACTGATAACTGATACATTTGAAAGAGCTCAGTGTTGCATCATAAGCACAGGAGCTCTGGTAATATGATCCTAGAATGAGAGCTCCGCCCTTCCCTGCAACCAATCAGAGAGCTAACAGTACACTGAGAATTAGAACTTACAACAGTTCTCAGTCAATAGTACACCCGACACTGAATCGAAGTGAGATGAGAGATGACACACAGTCTGGATCAGAGTAGATCCTCATTTACATTGGTACTTTAATCAGCCCCTAACCTTCAGTTCACTTGCTTGTCAGCTGACTCAGCAAGTGAACTGGTGAATCATTCATGTAAAAGATCAGAACTTCCCATCTCTAGTGTGGAGAAGCAGTGTGACTTTACACAGAGTTCCAAACCTGCCCAGTCTCAGGAAAGGAGGGGTGACAGCAGGGAGCTCTGCACTGGGTGGGGTCAGACCAACAGTCTAAGGCTTACCTATGTCACCCACTGCAGTGCGTGCTGGGATGTCATAACTTCCCTGCTGGCTGCAATAGAACCAAGGGGGGAGGTTATTAGACCACAGGCTAGGCTGATGGATTGTACAGTGCCTAGTGAAAATGAAAGAAAGGAAATGAAGGGGTCAGAGGGCTGGAAGCACAGACTTGTACCATGGATTTCTGGAACACTATACTGCTATGCAGTAAGGCAAGCACATATTTTTAATATTTCCAAAAGCTAGTTAGAGTAGGCTGAATCTTTCCCCCCCCCCCCCCCGTTTT